CCGGGACAGCCCACTCCCACCTGCAGCCCCGTCCGGGCCGCTGTGTCTGGCGGCTGAGCGCCAGGTAAAGCAGGGCGCTTGCCTGGGGGGTCGTGTCGTTGGAGAATTACGGTAAGGTCTTTCCGCCGAGGAATCGCAGTTGCCCCGGGATGGTGCGCGGGGGCTGTGCTGCCGCCTGGGCGGTCTCAGAAGTTTGAGGAGGCCTGCTGACCCCTGCCTGGAATCAGGGACACCCTGCTCTGGGGCCCTCTCCTGAACACCAGGCAGTGCTTCGCAGTCTTCTGTAGTCCGCGGCCATCCCGGGATGCTTTCGCCTTCCATTCCGGGGTAGGAAGCGGGAGGCTCCCAGTGATTTGCCCCAGAGAAACGCATGAGCTGAGGTTGCCTTTAACCCACACTGCTGTTGGGTCCTCTGCCAAGCATTTTACAGACGAAGACACGACTCAGACGCCACCAGATCCTCCCCTGGTCACACAGCTGGTAAGGAGAGGAGAGGGGGAGGCAGAGACGGCATCTTCCAGACAACCACAACCGGGGACACGTGGGCAGAGAGCTCACATCCTTTCCCCTCCCTGCCTGGGCCTGGGAGGTGGGGAGCTGTCCCCGCTCCTCCGGGAGGACACTGCTAGAGCTGGGACTCAGAAACTCATTGCTGGGACTCTGCAATGATGTGGGTCTTGGCTCCTAAGTGCATGCCCATGCTGGCCCCCCGGACCCTGGAGCCCTCCCTGTGCACCTGTCAGTGCTAGTAGCTCCTGTTGGTAAAACCCAGGAGCCAAACCCAGGCTTGGCCCAGGTTTAGAGGAGACTCATGTTGAGGATGAGGATGAGGATGGTGATGAGATGCTGTGCACTGTCTGAAACGTTATGGCAGCCCTGACCAGCATCGGCAGAACAGGTAGAATTCACCAGTTTTTATACAAAAAGAGATGGCGGTCTGGAGGGTTCAGTAATTCACTGACTTATCTCTGTGAAGGTGGGAGCCTGGCACATCCACGGCATTTCTCCATCTGCCCTGCATACTATCCATCCTTCACGCCTCACACACTTCAGCCCAATGTTCCCCTTCCCCTGAGTGAAAACCACACCAACATGTCAGAAGAACTTGGAAACAAAGACACATCCATAGCAGCTTCAGCACACAAGGAGGCTTAGGCACAGGGCTGGTCAGAAACAGGGGATCAGAGAAAAAGAAAGACTGAATGATCCCCCTTATATGTGGAATCTAAAACAACAGTAACAAACTCATTGAAAAAATAGGTAAGACTTGTGGCTAAGAATAGATAGGAAGTGGGGGGTGGGTGGAGGGGCGTTAGAGGAAATTGGTCAAAAGGTACAAACTTCTGCCCTGTCTGGCACTGAAGGGCTGGGGGTTCAATTCCCGGTCAAGTGCACATACCTGGGTTGCAGGTTTGATCCTCAACCTGCTTGGGGCACGTGTGGGAGGCAACCAATCAATGTGTCTCTCTCACATCAATGTTTTTCTCTCTCTCTCTCTCTCCTCTACTTCCCTCCCTCCTTTCCACTCTCTCTCTAAAAAAAAATCAATGGAACAAAATATCTTCGGGCGAGGATTAACAGCAACAAAAAAGGCACACACTTCCAGTTATAAGATATATAAGTACTAGGGATGTAATATGCAACAGGATGACTACAGCTAACACTGCTGTATGGTATATGGGAGCGTTGTTCAATTCTAAGAGTTTTTATTACAAGGGAAAAAATATTTTTCTTTTTATTGTATCTATATGAGATGATGGGTGCCAACTAAACTTATTGTGGTAATCATTTCATAATATACATAAGTCAAACCATTATATTATATACCTTAAACTTATACAGTGATGTATGTCAATTATATCTCAATAAAACTGGGGGGAAACTGAAAAACAGCCAAGATGCTCCTGCTGCAACCTGAGTCAGGCCATGTCCCTTCTTGACTCGGAACATTTCAGTGGCTCTTGCCTGCAATGCCTGCAATGCCCTACAGGATCTGGCCCTAATGCACCTCTGACCTTACCCTCCACTCTCCCTCTTTGCTCACATCACTTCAGTCACACTGGCCACCATGTGATTCCTCACACATACCGGGCACAACCCCATCTCAGGGTCTTCACACTTGTTGTTCCTCTTGCCTGTATAATCTCTTCCCCAGAAATTACTTGGCTCCATCACCTCCTTCGGGGTTCTATTATATGTTCAATTAACTGTTAAAATTTATGACAGAGACCTTAACCTGGCCAGAAATCAGGAGGGGCTGCGCGAAGAGCTATCACACCTATGTCACTGTGAGAGCCCTACAGGAAGAACTCCACGTTTACAACAGAGCTCTATGTTTGTAACAGCCCCTTCCCTAAACTCCCTGTTCCCCTTCACAAAGTACTTCCTCCATCTTTGTACGTCTGGCTCATCACGTCTGCATGTCCCAGATTGCAATCTTCTCTTTTTCCTGAATAAATCCTTTTGGTGACAGAGTACCTAGTCAACTTTTGTTTCATGGTCAACTTTTTCAGGGGGCCCATAGGGGTTACAGAGTAGTGACCGGGACAACTTCAGAGCAGGTGCGCAACCAGGAGCTGGTTCCCCACAGAGCCACTGGGCTCACTGCTCTCTGGCCTGGAGGCTTGGGCTTGGTCTGGAACCCAGCTTCTGATTTTGTGTTCTGAAGCTCTCTGGACTTTGTTCAGAAACTCTTTAGAGGGTTTCTGTTGTTGTTGTTAAAGGGCCTTGCTTGTTTGTTTGTTCATTTGTGAGCTCAGTTGACACTTTGGCCTGACTCCCCAGAAGTACCAGGCTGCTTCTCGGAATTGCACTTGCTTTCTGACAGATTCCATCTGGAACGGGGTTGTTTCCCCAGAAACTGAGGCTCGGCTCTGATCTGGTTCTGTCTGGAACCAGACTGCTCCCAACGCAAGCTGTGTCTCATCAGTCTTTGACTTGGATCTCTTGAGATCAGGCTGTTCTACTACAACTGGCTTTTTACCTTTGGCTTGACTTCTCCCCCTAACCCCCTGATCAAAGGGTGTTCTACAGTGAGACTGGCCGGTATCTAACCTGCAGGTTGCTGGAGCTATTCGGGCTGTTTGGGGCCCTTGCGCTAGAGAAAAGTCTCTGAAAAAATGGGATCTCCATTATCTAAATATTTCAAGACTGTTCCGTCTCTAGAAACGCCTGTTGAAATCATGTTTAAAAGCTATGGTCACTCTTCATATTTAACTAAATAAGCAGATCTGACTGAAAGTAATTCAGAATATCAATGGGCACCATAGGGAATCTTTGAATTCCCAAACTCACTTTTCTTAAAACCCTATTGGATAATATTATCACTAAAACTAGCTAAGATGAATGGAATGCCTATTTCCAGTGGTATTTTGAGGCTTCCACATGGAACCAAGAATCTGAAGTTGCCTCTTTACAAAGTAAACTTTTAGAATTAACTGGGGCTACTGAACTTTTAAAGAGAGAAAGGATGGTTTCTGAAGCCTCATGATCTTCACTTCCAGTGCTGTCTTGCCTTTCCCCTCAACTCCTTATTTTTTTCATGCTTCACCTCGGAAGCCATCTGGCTTTCCACTATCTGGCTTCCTTGCCTTGCCTCTGGTGCCATCTTCCTCTGAACTTTCTCTCCCTTCCTCCTCCTCTAAACATATCAGTACCTGTCCCTTTAAAGTTAAGCTCTCTGAGGATCCTAATACATCTCATGTCCCTGGACTAAAGCTGAGTTATAAGCCATGGTTAAAGAATCCCCTAAGGTAACAGGATCCTCACAGATTTGCTGAGGAATTTGACATAGTTATTCAGGCCTATCACCCTGGGTTTTCTGATGTATAGCAGCTAATCCATATGCTAGTTGGTGAAGGCCACCTCAACATTGGATGGGAATTGCCCAATGGGAACATCCTGGGAGGGATTTAGAAAAACAAGCCTCTGATTTTTGGAAAGAAGCTACAAGACTTCCTTAAGAACTTCACTGAGCAATAACAGTAGCTTTTTAAAAGTCTGTTGGCTGGAGCAGGATTCAGACTTGCTCACAAAAGTCTGTCAAATCTGTTCATGACTATTATAATTGACTTTAGGTCATTTATAAGGAAAATTCTGGTCTTCCTTCAGATGTTGATTCCACTTGAGTAATCTTTGGTAAGTCTTTGTTTATTAAGAGGCTGAACCAATACCTTTCCCTTTCGGCTAAAAGGATCAGGATGACGTAGGAAACCATGTCCACCCAAGATTTGGTTAATTTGGGCAATCAGATTGCTCGCAGTCTATATGAGCTATCTAAAAGTAAGATTGGCATGATGTCTAATTTTTAGACCTGGCATATGAAGGCCCCTATATAAAACCAAAAGTTTCCTAGCTTCTGCTGTCATTGCAAAAAGCGAGGAGACTGGGAAAGGGATGGTGGCAAATTTCAGCACTTCAGGTATCCTCAGCCTTCTCATCAGCCTTCCCAAGGTCTCTTAATCCCCAGTGATGGGGCTCCATGGGACAGCAGGGACTTTCCCCAGCCCTGCCTCTTAATCAGTTTGGAGAAGCTTTTCTTCAAATTGGTAATGAATCTGTCTCTGTCCTTCTGACACCAACCTCTGCCTTGGAGTACTAAAACAGTTCCAGTGGCAGGGGTTTCATATACACTTGAACAGGTTCTGTCTCTGACCCTATCCGTCTTTTCCTAGGCCCTTTGAAAGATACTCACTCCTTCTCCTTAGTTCTTCTGCCCTATTCATTTATTAGGCCAAGACTTCTTAGAGAAGTATCACCCCTGAGTTTCTTTCTCCCAAAAGGAGGAAATAATTTTAGAATTTGACAGTAGCTGTTAAAATAGCCACTCAGGTGAACTAAATAATCTTTCAACATCTTTTATTTGTTCAATCTCTGGTGACGCTATAGCTGAATCTGGGAGCACTGATCAATTATCTTTACTGAGTCAAACTGCTATCCTCTTTATGGACAAAATCTTCAAGTGATATTGGCAAGATCCACAGCGCACTACTACCTCCTATCAATATTCAAATAGATTCTTCAAAACCCCTTCCCAGAATTGATCCATACACCATGAGTACAAAGGCTCTTCAAGGTATAAAGCCCATAATAGATTAACTCAGTCCCTGTCACAGTCTCATTTTACCTGTGAGAAAGCAAAAGGAGGAAGGTGAAGGTTTGTTTCCTAGCAATAAACCACGTTGTTACCCCTCAAAACCCTACTGTTCCTAACCCTCATAAACTACTAACATCCATCCAACGGGAAGCAACTTCTTTACTGTAACTGGTTTGCGCAGTGCATTCTTTAACATTCCAGTTGATGAAGCTGGCCGATACCTTTTTGCCTTCACTTGGGAAGGAAACAGTTCACTTGGACAGTAATGCCCTGGGGCTTTACTGAAAGCCCTTCTTATTTCTCACAAGTTCTGAAGGCTGTTTTGGATGATATAATTTTCCCTAATGGTTCTACTTTGTTGCAATATGTGGACAAACTTGCTTCTTCGCTCTTCCTCCAAGTTCTCCTCACAGGAGACAGCCTCCACCTGTTAGAACTTTTGGCTTTCAAGGGGCATAAAATCTCAAAAAAAAATTGCAGTTTGTGTAAATTCAGGTTTAGTATTTGGGACATCTGATATTGGAGCAAGGACTGCAACTGGGTCCAGATAGGCTTCATGGTGTCCTAAGTTTCCCAAGGCCTAAAACTAAGTGTCAACTCCAAAGCTTTGTTGGGCTAATTGCCTATTGCCAAAATTGGGTCCCAAATCTCTCTCTGATAAAAAAAAAAAAAACAACAAAAAAAAACCTCTATAATGTTTTACTAAAGAATTATAGTCCTGACCCAATTATATGGGAAGAACAGGACAACATAACTTTTAAAGTCTTAAAGGAGAGTTTAATAAACTCACCTGTTTTGGGGCATATCAATTGTTAGATATTCTCTCTCTCTCTCTCTCTCTCTCTATATATATATATATATATATATAGAGAGAGAGAGAGAGAGAGAGAGAAAAGTGTCCACACCTAACTATTATACATGCATTAAACCACTGATATATATATAAAGGGTTGCCCTTCGTTTACTCACCCAAAAACAGGAGGACTACCATAGGCCCTTAGGGTATTCCAGTCAGCAGCTGGACCCTGTGGCATGGGGATGCAGCCCCTGCCATAGAGCCATTACTACCACTGTCCTTTTTGTTGAGGACATAAAGGAAATTGTAGGATCCGCTTTAACCATCGTTGCACCTCATGCAGTAGAAGCCCTCCTGAATTCTCGCCACACCAGGGTCTGCAGTTAGTTGCCTGGCTTTCTATAAAGTCCTCCTGTAAAGTGCTCCTCACATCACTCTTTCATGTTTAATAACCTTATTCCAGCTACTCTTTTCCCCTGTGATACTGACAAAGCCCCTCATGATGCTTGCATACGGATGGATCACCTCCTGACCTTGTGATGATCTGCAGGAGACTCCTCTGGGTAAAGCTGGTTTCAGGTGGCTCATATTTTAAACATGACATAGAAGGTACTATGCTGGTTATGCTGTTGTAACCCCTTTTGAAGTCATCACGGCAGCATCTTTACCTTGGACTCCTTCAACCCAGCAGGCTGAATTATATGCTCTCAGTCGGGCTTGTATTTAGCCAAGGACAAAACGACCATCACTTATAATGACAGTAGATATGCCTTCGCAATAGCTCATGACTTTGGAATGTTATGGAAACAACGTGGCTTTCTTACAACCAGTGGAAATAAAATGGAATGCCCTGTACATTCAAGAACGACTGCATGCTATACTTGTACCTGCTGGTTTAGCTATTCTTAAGACCCCAGGGCATTCTAATCCTGACTCTCTGGAAGAGAAAGAACATCGCTGTGATGACATTCCTGCAAGGAACGCTGCCCTTAAAGGAACCAGCAGCAGTCAAGCCTCTGTCATGGTCCAAGGGGATATTTCCAGCTGATAACTTAGAACAGCGGTTTGGAACCTTTTACTGCCAAGGTCTATTTGGATATTTATAGCATCATTCTCGGGCCATACAAAACTATCAACTTAAAAATTAGCCTGTATATTTGTTCAAACATTTAATTAATTCACCCCTAATGCCTTGGCAGGGTCAGACCAAATGATTTCGAGGGCCTTAAGTGGCCCGAGAGCTGGACTTTCCCCTCCCCTGACTTAGAAAAACTAGTCAAAGCAGCCCAGCAGTTGGCTTCAGAAAAAGAAAAGCAGGATTGGAAATCCAACAATTGTTGGTTTGATAAACAGAGAAAGGCCAAATAACAGTCCAGTCCTACCTGAGACTAAAGTGTCCACACCTAACTATTGTACAGGCATTAAACCACTGACAAAATGATAGCATTCATGAATCAATTTTGGTGGAGAAATGTTAATAAGACCATAAAAAGCACCTACCTCACTTGTCCCACTTGAACAAAGTACAACCCAGGGAAGTCTATTTGCATGTCTCTCAGACATTTCAAATTGCCTAATGGGCTACTCAAGGTTTGACAAATAGATTTCACACTGCTTCCCCTGTCTCAGGAAATTAATATGTCTTAGTAATGACCTGTATGTTCTCTCACTGAACTGAAGCTAAAGTCCGGTTAGCCCCTCTGGAACTCCACAGCAATGGAGGAACCCACTTTACTGATCAGTTTTGACAAGTCTGTGATGTTTGGCCAGACCTGTCAAAACTGTTGTAACCAAATGTTACAACATTTTCACTGCACTTATGACCCTCAATTCTCAGGTTTAGTTAAAGGCACTAACTGCATTATTAAGATTCAATTGGCAAAATGCATAGAGAACCATTCAAATACCATGGCCAAAAGCATTGCCATTGGTCCTTCTAAATCTCAGATCCACCTCTTTTGAGTGGAAGACACACCAAAATATAATAATAACTAGAGGCCCAGTGCATGAAATTCGTGAGTAGGGGGTGGGGGGAGTCCCTCAGCCGGACCTGTGCCCTCTCGCAGTCCGGGAGCCCTCGGGGGATGTCCAACTGATGGCTTAGCCTAAGTTGGCTAAGAGGCTCCCGCCACCACCGCTGCACTCGCAGGCCATGAGCCTGGCTTCTGGCTGAGCAGCCCCTGTGGGAGCGCACTGACCACCAGGGGGCAGCTCCTGCATTAAGCGTCTGCCCCCTGGTGGTCAGTGCACATCATAGCAACTGGTCGTTCCGCTATTCGGTCATTTTTCATATTAGCCTTTTATTATATAGGATTCCCTCCAGGTTTGCTGGAAGGGCCCCTATCAAGTACTGTTGACTACTCCTTGTGCTGCTAAACTCCAGGGAGTAAACTCATGGATACATGTGTTGCATTTAAAAAAGGCACCTCCCTTGTCATGTGGCTCAGTGATTGGAGAGTCGGCTCACATACTGAAGGGTCACCGGTTTGATTCCAGATCAAGGGCTGGGTTGCAGGTTCAATCCTGACCCTGGTTGAGGTACATGCAGGGGAGAGGCAACCAATAAATGTCTCTCTCTCCCCCTTCCCTCCCTCCCTCCCCCTCCATTCCTCTCTTCCACTCTCTCTAAAAAGCAATGGGAAAAATATCCTCAAGTGAGGATTAACAAAAAGGAAGGAAGGAAGGAAGGAAGGAAGGAAGGAAGGAAGGAAGGAAGGAAGGAAGGACTTGTGACCTGAAGTTAAAGCTGTCAAAAATTGAAGCAGATGGTCTCTGAAGGAGACAGCTTTCCCAAAACAACTATACCAGGTCTGTGCAAATCTTTTCCTTACTGTTGTTTTTTATTTTATGTCTCTCTCTTTCATAGAAGGGAAATATCCTTGTTTACATTTTCCAAGCTAATGTGAAAGGGGAAACTTTCTGTTACTGTATCTGATGTTAAGAACTTTGATCTGTCCAAGACAACAATGACCTTCATTTCACCACCTACAGGTTTGAACTCCTAATTTAGAATCACCATTTAGACTGTTTATCATGTTGTTTTAAATTTTGTGTTGTATTCTTCTTGTTATTAAGCTCTTCGCCTGTTGCACATTATCCCTGAATACGAGATGTTTTCTATTCCTGCACCGTCCCTCCGACGTGAGACACGACACCCAGAAATCCTTCTGGACGTGGAGGGACAAAGGGCTGCGAAAATCGGAAAACCTGGCTGTTGATCAGCGCTACTTCCAGAGAAAGATCTTGATCAAAAAGGAGAAAATCATAAGAGAGAGCTTAACCTGGACAGAAATCAGGAGGGGCTGTGGGAAGAGCTATCACACCTATGTCATTGTGAGAGCCCTATGGGAAGAACTCTACCTTTACAACAGAGCTCTATGGTTGTAACAGCCCCTAAACTCCCTCTTCCCCCCTGTAAAGTACTTCCTCCTTCTTTGTACATGTGGCTCATCATGTCTGCATGTACCAGACTGCAATTCCTTATTTTTCCTGAATAAATGGTTTTGGTGATGGAATACCTAGTCGCATTTTATTTCACGGTGGACATTACCTTCTCAGGGAGCCCTGCTTTAAACCCCCAATAGAAATGTTAACACTCTATTTCCTATTTCCCTGTCCTGTTTAACTTCCCTTTTTTTTTTTGCTTATTCCCTGCTAATGTATTATATATTTTACATTTTATTTTATTTGCTTTTTTTCTCATCCAATAGAATGTAAGCTCCACCAAAGCAATGATTGTATCCATTTGTTCCCTTCTACCTGCAGCACCAAGTACATAGTAAGTGCTCAATTGTTAAATTAATGAATTTCTAAAAGACTTAAAGCAAACAGGGTCCACTTGAGAGAAATTAAATGGGCTCAGGAACTTGCCCCTAACAGGTAAAGGATTTTGTCACTGGAGAATTTAGAAGAGTGATTTTCCCAAAAGACCCAGAACACCCCCAAGCTAGTTTCCAGGGACTACCTTTATACAGGGTGTCTCCTACCTGATTCATTCTCTGCCTGCCTCCAGCAACGACCTTGGCCTGGTTAACCCCATTCATCCTTCAGAAATCACCTCATACTTAACTTTCTTGGGGACATAGTCTCATACCAACCTATCTCCCACCTCCAGGTCAGACGGCTCAAGTCTCATTACTGTCCTTCATGCAGAGCGCCTGAAATATAGTAGGGACTCTGTAAACTTGTGTTGAGTAAATAAATGAATGAGTGAGTGGATGGGGATGCTGGCCGCCTAAGTAGATGAAGGTGCACCTGAGCATCCAGACACAGCATTTACCCAGGCCATATCCTGAGAGAGAAAAACTCTCCCGTACAGTGAGGAGATCTGTTACTGGAATTATTTGCCAGGAAGAAGAGAAAGAAACCAGGTGGTGCTCTTCAAAACAGAGATAGTAAAAAAGGAACATTTCTCTTCAGCAGTGAAAACCTCTAACATACTTTCCCTCCCAATCAATTCCTTCCCTACTGCTGTATCATCATGCACGGAAAAGAACCTTAAAGTCCCAGGCAAGAATGCTAAACGAGTTCACCATCACCAAACCAGTATAACAAGAATAATAAAGAGACTTCTTAAAGAAGGAGACTGAGGAGAAGAAATTAAAAATACGAATAATAACATGGTGATAACTATATACCTATCAATAATTACTTTAAATATAAATAGATTAAAAGCTCCAATCAAAAGACAGAGTGGATAAGTGGATAAGAAACATGGCCCATACTTACACTGCCTACAAGAGACCCACTTCAGATCGAAAGACACACACAGGTGAAAGTAAAGGGATGGAAAAAGATATTTCATGCAAATGGAAACCAAAGAAAAGTTGGGGTAGCAATACTTATATCAGACAAAATATACTTTAAAATAAAGGCAATAACGAGACAAAGAAGGACCCAGCAATTCCACCTCTGGGTATTTATCTGAAGAAACCCAAAACACTAATTTGAAGACATATGCATCTCTATGTTCATTGCCGCATTATTCACAATAGCCAAGATATGTAAGCAACTAAGTGTCCATCGATAGATGAGTGGATAAAGAATATATGGTACATATATATGATGGAATATTATTCAGCCATAACAAAGAATGAAATCTTGCCATTTGTGATATCATGAACGTACCTAGAGGGTATTATGCTGAGTGAAATAAGTCAGACAAAGAAACACAAATACTATATGATTTTACTTATATGTGGAATCTAAAACAAACAAAGGTGAAAGTAAAGGGATGGAAAAAGATATTTCATGCAAATGGAAACCAAAGAAAAGTTGGGGTAGCAATACTTATATCAGACAAAATATACTTTAAAATAAAGGCAATAACGAGACAAAGAAGGACCCAGCAATTCCACCTCTGGGTATTTATCTGAAGAAACCCAAAACACTAATTTGAAGACATATGCATCTCTATGTTCATTGCCGCATTATTCACAATAGCCAAGATATGTAAGCAACTAAGTGTCCATCGATAGATGAGTGGATAAAGAATATATGGTACATATATATGATGGAATATTATTCAGCCATAACAAAGAATGAAATCTTGCCATTTGTGATATCATGAACGTACCTAGAGGGTATTATGCTGAGTGAAATAAGTCAGACAAAGAAACACAAATACTATATGATTTTACTTATATGTGGAATCTAAAACAAACAAATAAACAAAACAGAAATAGACTCATAGATACAGAAAACTCTTTAATAGTTTCCAGATGGGAGAGTGGTTGGGGAATGGGTGAAAAGGGATAAAAGATTAAGATGAGCAAATTGGCTGTTATAAAAAGAGTCATGGAGATGTAAAGTATAGCATAGGGAATATAGTCGGCAATATTGAAATAACTATGTATGGTGTAAGGTGGGTACTAGATTTACTGGGGTGATCACTTTGTAAGGTATATAAATGTCTGATCACTATGTTGTACACCTGAACCTAACAGTATTGAATGTCCACTGCAATTGAAAAGTAAAAAAAAAAAAATGTTTAAAAGAAAAGAAAGAAAGGGGCCTTGAAAGAATATACACTATGTTGTTTAAATATTTTATGACCTTCTCTATAAGACCATTTGGGCCTGTTGGGTTGCTTTTTATGGGGGGGATCTTCTCTCTGCCATTAGATTTCCTGAATTTTACCATGATGCTTCTAACTCTGGACTCTTGTCTCTTTCTTATTTTGCTTTATGCTTGGTGTATCCATTTAATCTGAAAACTCAAGTCTTTCTTCAGTTCAAGGAAATTTTCTTCTATCATTTCTTCCTTTGCCCCTAGATATCTGCATAGATTGCTCACTCGCTTAGTCAGGCCTCTGCTCAAATGCCACCTTTCCATAGATGCCTTCCTAGACTACCCCACCTAAAACGGCAATTCCCCTGCTCTGTGTTCCCTGGCCCTGGTTTATTTTATTTCATGCTCCTGTTTTTATATTCTTCACCTGTTTGTTTATCACCTATGTCTCCTATTAGCTGACAAACTCCTTAAGAACGTGGACTTGGACTTTTTTCTTCACTGCTATATCCCAGGACCTAGAACACTCCAGAAATATCTGTCGAGTGAGTAAGAAGATCGTTTCTGCGCTCTTCTTCTAACCCTTCTAATAGATTTATGGTGAGTCTTTAAAGAAGTTTCTGAAGGCCCTGGCCGGTGTTGGTAGGACGTCATCCCATGCACCAAAAGGTCACCAGTTCAATTTCTGGTCAGGACACATTCCCGGGTTGTGGGCTTTATCTCTAGTGGGGGCCTTGCAGGAGGCAGCCCAGCTGTGTATCACTCTCACATCGGTGTTTCTCTCTCTTGATCCCTCTCCTTTCCTCTCTCTCAAGTTCAATAAAAGAATCTTTTTAAAAAAGTAGTTCCTGGGGAGCTGGCATTGTCCCACAGCCCTGTAGTCAGCAATCTTGGCCTCAGCGTATTCCATCCCATGCCCATCCCCTCTACACTGCCCCCCATAACCTCGAGCCTTTCTTCCAACTCACACCTGCCCAAGCTCTGAGCCCAGGGTCCCATTCAACGCTCAGTGGTCCAGGCACAAAGGGACCACCTGAGGCCATCAAGCACTTGCGACCTACTGCAGTAACTGACTTCTCCCCCTTCTCAGGTGGGAAGCAACCAATCCTCCCACTCTCAGTCCCGGTGTCCCTGGGGCTCAGCTGGCCAGTGTCCATCTCTTCTGACAGGCAAAGGGCTAGGATACTAAGAATACCCCATTCGTTGTGGGCTCAGGGAGTAGTTTTGAGGTATGACTAGGAGTGGGCAGGCACAAAGAGAAGCCATGAGGGTGGTTGAGCAGGGTAAAGAGTACACTGCAGCAGGGTCCATGAATGGTTTTCTCTCTGGCATCTGCAGAAATTTCCAGATGGGGGGCAGCCTGATTCTCAGCCCCAGGGGCTGTGTATATGGCAGCCTAGACTCTGGTTCTGGGTCCCTCTGGCCAGCTGAGTGCATTGGGCAAGTCAGTCTGCCGGCCAGAGCCTCAGTTTCCTCATCTACAAACCGAGGGCCAAGACCCCTGTCCTACTTGCCTCACTGGGTTGTTTGAGGGTCAGATAAAGTCATGGATGGGAGCAGGCGCTGGAAAGCGCAGAGACCGGGGAAAGGCTGGCATCACTCCTCCCAGTATTTACCCAGTGCTCCTTGGCCCCCACCCTGCGCTGGCCTGGTGCTGGGCAATGCTGCGGAAAAGGGACGCTGGCACACAGCCCGGGGCAGCGGAATGATGGCAGTGCAGGGGGCGAATAACAACTCCAACGGGGCAATGAGTGGGAAATGCCAGAAGCCCAGGAAATTGGAACTACTTTGTCCTCCATGGGGCCAAGGGTATCTCTGTCTCCTAGAGGTTCAAGCCCAAGCCTCTCAAAGTGACAGCCAGGCCACTCATTTGCATAATTCTTTTTAAAATAACACCTGCACATTGTTGTAAAGTTCAAACACTACAGAAAGACATGAAGTGAAGAGTCCTTCAACTCCAGCCCCACTCTGCACTTCCAGTTTGTTTTTCCTGTTACCATGGGCCGTCTGGGCTCTGGGGCTCCCCATGAACATGACCCAGGGGTCTCCAGGCTGCACTGCAGTCTGAGGCTCTTCCCCCAGTCCTCCCTCCTCCCCCCTCTGCTTTCCCAGGTGTCAGCAGAGCCCTGTACCCCTGCTGCTTTGTTGCTCCTGCTCCCATGTCCTCCCCTCATCCTCCATGGGCATTGCCCTCCTAAGCCTCTTGTATGCCTTATTCCAACCGATTCTCTGAAGACAAGAACTGGCACAGGTTGTTCACAGAGCAAATGAATGAATACATGCAGAGCCTTAGAAAAGTGCCAGGAACAGAGCAGACATCTCTGACTCCCAGCGCCTGGGGCTCCTTCCTTGGGGCGATCCTCGGAGACGTCAGCTGCCTATCCTGGGGAGCCTCCTGTGTGTCCTCTCAGGAACATGGCTTCTTGGGTTTCCTGAGTGCGCAATACTCCCTCTGTTCACAGAGCCTTGCACCCCTGCTGCCTTTGTTGGGAACAGCCTCACCGTT